TCCTCGATCGTCAAATCCCAACTTGACTTCCAAAATCGCCGCCCGATCCCTTCCACCATAGTGTTTAACCTCCCAAGTCTGACGATCGTGTTGTTACCGTGGATGCTCAAGGCCTGAGACGCCAACTTTGTCAAGGTTGATCAAAGCCCAAATCGAGTTTGATCTCATTCAGGTAAGTTTTGCTTTTTTCCCCCCCTTAATCTATTTCAATTTATTGCATTTTATTGATTTCTTACCTAGCTTCCATCGTAAGGTTGGTTTTGATGTTCTCTAGATTTATGTTATGTTCTGTTGTTTTAATTTCAGTATAATGTTGATTTGTTCAACTCATCTATTCTTTTGGTACATCTAAACAATGCTCATGTATCTCCCTTGGTTATCTACTTTTTCCTATTTGGGGAATGGATTTCACTATTTATTGTCTACCATATTTCCAAAATTTTTTGTTTGCTGCATATCAATAAAACTATTGGTTTGCCAATTCTATTATCAAAAGCCTCACTTAAGACGTCACTTTTGTCTTATATTTTCAATGCATTGAAAATTTACATTCACCTGCAGATTTCAAATTCTGCCAATTTTATTTTCCCAATTCTTTATCATAATCTATTTAATAAATATTGGTCAAGATATTGTATTTTCAAAATGATTGTTCTTGAGAATAAGCTACGAGTTTTAACAAATTCTTTTGCAGTTGTTTATCTTTTCGAATCTCTTACATCTTTATCGTCCTTTCTCACTTGAAATTGGATATATTAATTCAAATGGTTTAGGTTTGTTTTCATTGAAAAGATTGAAGATGTAATTCTCTGTGCAGAGTTGTTAGCACCAACTGCCCTGGAATTTGAAGAAGCCAGACGAATCAAATAAGAGGAAATGATCTGTGTCTATAATTTATGGGATGATCCTACTAAATCCAATGAAATTCATATCAAGTTAGTTGGTAGTGCCAACGTGGTTGATGCTCTCAAGGACCTAAAATACAAGGTATTTATTTATTTTTATTTTTATTTTTTTGAGATTAGTTTCAGTTAAACTTTCTTATAACATATGCTAATTTTATTTCATAGAAACGAGCACATGGAGTCTTGACCTGTATTGGGTTTGTAGGCTAGAGTAGCATGACAAAGGTTTGACCTATAGCTTTCAGGGCATAGCATCATTTGCTAAGATAATTGAGATTTTAGAAAGGTTCAGTGTTCTTTGGTTTAGCTAGATGATACCCACATGAATAGTTGTATTTGCATACCACCTTTGTTTTAATTTATTAGAATCTAAATATACTTCTAAATGCATATTAGTTGTACCATTATAATATTCAGTTCATAACAAAGTTAGAGACAAAGGGATTCTTCAATATGATTCAGTTCATTAGTCTTGATTGAGTTTATATGGAAAATTAGGAGCTTTGCCTATTGAATGTGGTTAGTTTATAACAACATGTTCAAATGCGTCTTTGACATCTTTCTAATTTTGGGTTTTTTCTGGCAATAGCTGGTAGTAAAAGGGTCTGTCTAGCTTTTAGCGTTTTTAATGTTACAAAATTACTTCACGCAAAATAGTTAATTGGTTTTAGCTTTGATGCTTCCGACTTTCCATTTTTTTCAGCAATTATTTTACTTTCTTCATCAATTTGTTACATGGTTTGTAAAGAAATGGTGAAGCTATCATGAAGCTATCATGGTATGAAAGTGCCATCTTATGTAGCATCATTGGTTTAACATGAAGAAATCCCCAAAGATTAACCCTTGAAATATGCATTAGCTCAAGCTTTAGCTTTCTGCTTATACAATTATTATCTCATGTGCAAGACAAATTAGTTAATTATAACTGTTTTTGAATGATTTTCACACTATCCTAACAGTTGATATATGGGATGGACTTTTTTTAAAAAAATTTAATTGTAAGATTTGGTATGTAATAAGGTTCCTTCTCCATTTTTTGTAACGATTACTCTGAAAGAATGCAAATTTGTGTAGACATGCAAGAAGTTAACAAATCAAACTGGTTGGTGGAGAGCTCTCAGTTATAATTGTTATTAATATAAAGTTATGGGTGATGCACGCTAAAGTTGCTGAAAAGTTTGTATGTTGCTACAATTAAATAATACTTGTTGGTGATACTGCTCATTGACTCTTTTGTAATTGTGGTTTTGGTTAGTAACTCTATTTTTCTAAACAAAAAACATTTTGATTATTTAGAATTTTCCTTATCTTCTAATCAAAGTTTGTAACTGAATTTTCTTGGATACACGTAAACCTAAGGCTATGGGATTTACCATTTTACCTTGCCTATGTTTATTTCCTTCTCCTTTATAGGTATCATAGAGACAACAAAATGCAACATGTAAAATGCAATACATAATTACATATGTTAAAGGTGGTTAGAATTGGGAATTTGTTTACAAGTATAGATGCAAAATCATCCAGCAATATAAAGTATATGTATGTAGGATACTAGGATTCATTATTGACTTTACTACTTTTTACATTGAGTTTTTAGTGACTATGAATTGATAAGAGCATTTATGTATTAGTGAAGGAAGTTTGAACGTGGTCTAAAAGATACTTAACAAGAACAGCACTTTGCATAGAAAGATAGATTGGATAATGACAAGAAATGCTTCTTTAATTTTTGAATTAGTATAAAGAGATCT